TATAATATTCACTAAAATATATTTCATTTGTTGTATGCCATCTTGTGGTGATTTACAGTAGATTACAGGATATTTTTGCAGTTTTTCAATATATTTTTTATTATATGACCCCACAATTGAGAATTAAAATCCATCTATTTACCAATAAATTGATTCCAATATTGACTAGCAGATTTTAGTTACTCATAGTTACTTTAGCTGACTGTGTTCAGCAGGTCAGCGGTTCAAATCTCACCGGCTCAAGGTTGACTCAGCCTTCCATCCTTCCGAGGTAGGTAAAATGAGGACCCAGATTGTTGGGGGCAATGTAAATAAATATATACATTGCTTACTGGTGTACACCGCTTAGAGGGTGCTTGCACTTAAAGCGGTATATAAGTCTCATAAATAAATAAATAAATAAGCTACTTTTAAAGCATAGCAATTCTTTCCAGAATATCTTCTATGTGCCTGAAAATAATGAAATTCTGGTTCTGAATTTTTTTACTGTTATATAGTGGCTGACAGATAGTAGGATGTTCCTGTTCCCAGATTTTTTTGTTCTGCAAAGATAGCTATCTGGCTACTACCTAAAAGGTGATTGCCTAAACCCACATCTTTAAATAATAACAAGCAGAAGGAAGATTGTTTCATAGGCTTTATTGAGATAAAAGCAATCATGCTTTAAAAACAAATCATGGTCATTTTTGAAAACAAGGAATGTGAAATTTTAAGACTACAATGTATTTGCATTAAAAAATATTGGTAGCTTATGCAACTGCCACATTCAGAATGGACTGTAAGAAAAAAACCCACAAAATATTAAAGTAGCCCTTTATTTTGTGCAAAGTGCTTCTTTTGAAAACTTTTATAAAATGTATTTCTTTAGGTTTAATCTAATAGGGAATTACCAAGACACTACTGTCATTTCATAAAGCTATTTTTATTTTCTCTGCTCTTTGTACAGTAGTCTCTCCCTGTCTCTCTCTTCCAAATTCAGCATCTTTCATTGCCCAGATTATGAAGAAAAGAATATTTATATTTACAATACAGAGCATATAGAAAAAGATCCAATTAATTTTTTCCTTGGAAATTTAGGAATTGTAAAAATCAAAGCAGACAACATCTAGCATTTTATCAAACAATATTATTTAGAGAGACACAAATTTATTTACATAATACCAAGCAATGGAATTTGGGGGCATAGACACAGTCTCTGTCTTCTCTCTTTATATGATCTCTAATTTTAATTTCTTCCTGCTGATATCTCTGAACTGTTTTATTTTCAATATTGTGAAGATAAGCTTCTGGAATACCTGGAATATTAATGTATCCAGAAGTAACACATTGGAAATCAAACATTCTCCAGATTGCCTCAAATAAATGTCAAGTAAATGATTATTGTTAATTATTGGATAAGGCAGCAGGAATAAACATCTTAAAGGTCAATCAATACTGTAAATAACTGTTATACTATTGTTACCCCAACATTTTAAGGAGCAATTTCCATTAATTTTGCTGGAATGTGGTTCTACATTAATACATTGGGGCAATAATAACAATTCTCTTTATTTCTGGAACATTCTGCATATTAATGTAATTTCAACTATCAAATTAAAAAAACAAACAAAAGCAGACCTTTCAGTATCAATAATGCCAAAAGGCAGTCCTTTACTACACAACAAATGTAATATGCTATATTACAATAATTCCCACATATTAAAAGATGGAAAAGAATTATATAAATCTTTTTCATCACTCGATATACACAAATTAACATTAAAACACAAATACAAAATGTGGCATTAGTTTATTTGTCTTGTTCTTAATTTGTCTACTGCTCCATTCAATTGGATTACAATTCCTTAATTGGTATATAAACTGCTTTTGTAGATGGCTGTATTTACAATGCTTAAGCTACTGATATGCATTCTATTATTCTTGTATAATGTCTATTTGGAACAGAAATGCAGGCCAGTGATTTGAAAGCTAAATAAACACTACATATTCTTTATAGACCTGTTTTAATCCTATCTACATAAAGTTAATGCATTTCAATGATCTCACAGTAACTCCACAGGATCTTTTTTGAATTCAGTTTCTAATTCCTGGTGAAACACTTATGAGCTCTGGGCAGAATATGCATCCCATTCCTAGCTAGCAAATTAAATTCTTATGCACCAAATACCTACCCACATACAGTATGTACCTACATGTTGTACATAATTTTCCCTTAGTGAATCTAATCACAGAAGTTGACTTTCTTTTTCTAAATAGTGCATTACAGTGCTGATGATGTTGCTTAATTGGGCAATAAAACAACTGTTAGCACAGAGAGCATCAAGGACTCCACAGTTCAACCCTGAGCTACAGACATTTTCTTCCATTGGAATTATATACATTTCATCAAACAACTACACAATTCCCTTTATCCTTATAGTACAATATCATACTTTTAAAATTATCTTTATATTCTGCCTTTTCTTTGGAAGAGTGATATGGCAGACAGAATATTCCCTTCGTCTCATTTTCTCCAAGCAATTTTTAAAAAGGTTACCCAGGAAACCTTTGCGCCTAAAGATAGACTGGGTCTCTCTGGTCGCAATCTAGCCTCTTTAACACTATCTAATAAGAATGACTGTCTTATTACCATTCCCTGAATCCATATTAATACTGAACTTTCCACTGAAGCCTATCTTAAAAAGCAATGAACAATTTTTGCCATTCATTGACTGATGTTGCTCTAGGAAAGTACACCATACTCTCTTGTTTAAAATAGGAGTCTAGTTATGCCCAGTCACAATTAAATGTTCTCTTGCATTAATAATAAGAGCCTAGGAAAGTGGTGATAACCAATTTTTATTTATGAATTTATAACAAAAATGTCTTCTTGACAATGTCCTCAGTTCTAACATCGAAATATCCTTTTTTATGTAAAAAGAAGTGTATTTTTAATGTGTAGCAGCTATATGATTTTTTTTCTAAAAAGACTTATTTAAAAAGTCTGATGCCAGATAAAAAGTGAAATATTATAAGGAATATGAAAAAGTAATACGGATCTTAAAGAGAAAGAAATATGTTTACCAGCAACTGAAGATTCTACATCTGAGGGCTGTTCCTTGGCAGTATCATATATTGATCACACTATTATACACAATTTAAACATGGCTGATAAGAACAAAGAGATTTCCCCCCACTTTTTCTAACATATTTTCTCACAGAGAAATATAAATCATAGAAAATTAGAGCATGTTAATAACTGCTGACATTGAAGAGGTGTGTCAACGCTGTCGGAACCATGACAGGTGGATAATAATTTTTATTTTATTATCTAAGTCAGTAGTTCTCAACCTGTGGGTCGGGACCCCATTTGGGGTTGAATGATCATTTCACGGGGGTCGCCAAACAACACAGTCCGCCATTTTTTCCCCTTTTCCTTAGCTGTACTACTCCCTTTTATTCTATTGGCTTTTGAAAGCCAATAGAATAGACTCTCTTGAATAGAGTCTAATTCTATTGGCTTTCAAAAGCCAATAGGAATTGTTCAGGCTGTCTCTGCCCTGCTGAATCCACCAAAAGTCCCATTCTGCAAACGGTGCTGCAAGTTGTCTGCAGCGAAGGTGAGCGGTCTGGAAGTTTCTACCCCTCCCTGCTGAGAAACTATTAAAAATGTAAGTAAAAGAGGGCCAGGGATGGGAGGTGAGAGGCCGGCGGGCGCAGGGAGGATTTCTGGCATGCATGGGGCCCGGCGGGTGCCTTACCTCCCTTGGGCTGGGCCAGCTGGTGGCCCAGCTGGTGGTTGGCCTGCACCGTCTCTGCCGCTTGCCAGCTATGCCTCGGCTGGCGCAGGGGGCGGCACCACGCATGCGCGGCGCTCCCGGGCAGGGAAAGTCCTCGACTTACGACTGGTTGGGTAGTCCTCGACTTACGACCAGTTGGGTAGTCCTCGACTTACGACCGGTTGGGGGGTCGCGGCATTAAAAAGGTTGAGAACCACTGATCTAAGTCCTCAAAATGAAATCCTTGTTCAGAAATGCAAAATATCACTTAGGGTGACTTCATACATAACCACAATTTACACAAATCTTTTGCTTGGGAATCAATATGAGTTTTCAAAGGAAAAATCATTATATGTAACAATCCAAGATGGTTTTACACTGTATACCTCCAGCTATATAAGCAAAATAATTTGTTTACTTGACATCATGCATATAGAATGCATATAGAATTGTGCCCAATTCCTGCAAATCAGAGCAGGAAATATATATACAGCTTATTGCATGTATGTAGTAGGTACATTCTGGCAACTTAATGAGAATTAGTCCATACTATCGTATTTTCCATAATTACCTATGGCTACAAAAGCTGGACCATGAAAAAAACTGATCAGGAGGAAAATTGACTTCTTCAAGCTATGGTGTTGGAGAAGGTTCTTGCACATTTCTTGTACAGCAAATGTTACAAACAAGCAAATATGGAGCATACAAAACTAGAAATATAGCCAGAACAATAAAATTTGGCCTTACGTATTTTGGTCATGTCATACAATCAAACTCACTGGAAAAGGCAGTTAAGTTTGGAATCATTAGTAAAAGGAAATGAGGCCACCATAAAAACATGGTTGCAAGATACCATCAAAGCCAATACTGCCAAATCATAAAACAACTAAAAGAAGTCATACAATGTGGAGAGAGAATTGCTGAGAATGTGACACAATGAAATAGATAGCATCCATCACCAGCATAAATGCAGGCACCTTTAAGTTTGGAAAGGAATTCTTGTCCCTTCTATGCAATAAATATGGAAAATGTTTCAAATACTTTCACATTAAAGTATTGGATTTGTTTGTCCAAATCAGAGTTTCCAGATATATTTATACTCTCTATAGTCTTTAGTTTCCATTACCCAGAGCCAAGTCAACAGCATTGTAAAGAATAGATATTCAGGATGATTTGGTGCTTCATAGTGAACTATTTAGAACATCTCCAACCTTTTGAGGATATATTTATATGTATGATTAGTTTTTTTTTCAACTATGTGATGATTTTTACCTTATATTTCCTGGGATATGAAATGCCATAACCTAACGTAATGAATTATACTCAGGGCAACTTTCCATATGTATTTATATAATTTACATAATTTATAGTATCCTTAAAAAGAGGAATAGCTATTTCTCAATGATTTTTCATTTGTAATAATGGTAGGGATTCTAATGATTACATTCAGTATTATTTTGAACAATATAGAAATTGTAATATAGTGGCCTTATCACATATCAAAGTCATAAACTCAACTAAGAGGGATAACAGTATTAGACTGTTGCCACTACTCCCATGATATAAGAGACCAGGAGAGCTGCAACATTATGTATACTAGCACAGAAATAAATCCCACTAAATTTAATAGATCTTATTTTAAAATAGGCGTATTCTAGATCACACCTAGATCACAACTACTAGGTTGCAATCCTATATACTCCTATTAGATAGACAACTGTATTGAATTCATTAGGCTAAGTTCTGAATAGAAATATGCACAAGCATTGTATTAGAACATCAGTTTAATATATAATGATCAGGCTGGCCTGAAAACCATTCTACTTTGGAATATTTTGGAAGATTAAGTTAATTTATCTCTTTAAATGCAGTTGCTGAATCATGCCTCATATGACTTCTGCAAATTAACTGGTTATCATATATTTATTTATCATATAATGCTGAATTTTGGTATAAAAATATTTTCCCTGGATGTAATATTTTCTCTACTAATAATTTCTGCATAAATTCACGATAAATGAAAGTTGAGCCACATCATAGACTTCTTTCAGTTTTTGCAATAGATTTCTCCGAGATCCATCCTTAGTGCATGTAATGGATGTATGTAATAATTCAATTTTAGCTAAATGGCATTTCCTCACCATTTTATATAGATACTGTGTTCAAATGCAGCAAGGCAGTGAAGTGGAATGTTTGAAACTAAGATACAAGTACAAAACCACAACAGACCAAAGAAACAATGCTGCTCATACTTACAATGAGTATTACAGAAACATGCAAGAGAATACCTGATGACTATTCCTGAACTTCTTGGATTTTATCAACATTCCTGCAGAACTTCCCAACAGTAGTAGTGGCAGTACGTGCTATATGAAGCACTAGGCATTCTTTCTCCCAATGTAATCACAGGTTATAATATTGAGCAGAATTCTCACATTTTTAAAAAATATTATTTTCATTGCAAATAAAATAGCAAATAAGCTGGTGTTCAAATAGCTGAACTAAAGCATAGGAACAAGCTTCTCTTTAAATCAAATTACTGGAAATTCTATGAAGGAGACTGGCAAAATGATTTGAGTCTTGAGTCCTTCCACTTACCCTGTGCTCCTTTCACTGTGATCCACATGGAATAAATAACTTGTCATTTGCTATCATAAAGGCTTTTTTAAAGAAGTACCCCAAATTACCTATAAAAGATAAGATATCAAATAGATTTAAGGTGGATGCTTATTACAGCAGTTAATATTCAGAAAAAGGCTGTGATGATAATATATAGCTTAAGAAAAAATATTGCTTGGTAGTTGATATTTCTTGGTTCTTTGTTGCATCTTTTGTAAACAGAGAAATAAATGAAGTTCTAAGCAAACTTGCTGAAACGGTACAGACACATGAAAGAAAAAGTGTACTCCAAAATGTAATGATGATTTTTAATCTAACCATAGTCTGTTTCTATATAGCAAACAACTCTTTCATCTATGTTTCTTGCCTGTATTGCTCAGATTATACAATGTCTCTATCATGGTCATGCTGAGGCTTCAATGTATTCATTTTTCGGCATTGCTACCCTTAGGTATTCTGGATTCTCAGCTGGAGGAAGTTTAACAATGCCATTAGGCTTGTTGTCTCTGGGCAAGAAGTCTTGCTGATAGTCTGGATTGTCCAGATTGATTTGGTGGTTGGCTGTCTGGTCCCAGTAGGAGGAGCTATCAAAAACTGTGTTAGCCAAAGGCGAGAGACTTGTGTTGAGATATTCTGGGTTATCCAGTGCTGTGTTATGCAGCTTTTCTTGATTTGAATCATTCATAGACTTTGGATCAATGGGAAGGGAGAAAGTGTTATAGACTGGATTTTGTACCATAGAAGCAGATGCATTTGAGGTCACTTGCTGGTTTATGTATTCTGAAATGATTTTAGAAAGACAAAATATATATTTAGAACAGTATATATGACTCAATATCTTACCTTTATTTAACTGCAAATTTCTATTAATGAGACATTGTTCATTAATTATTAAATTGATACAGCCTTCTGGAGACCAGTAAAAGTTCACACTAACTTATGCAATTACTGCATTTTAAAAAGTTTATATTTCAAACACCACAATCTACAACTAGTTTTGTCTATTGGTAAAGCTTTATCTTCTTTCAAATTAGTGGAGTCTCCTTCACATAGCCTTTGTGAATGCTGGTGTTCTGTTCTGTGCGTTAGTAAGGCACTGAGACAAAGCAGGTGTAACAACAATTGCTTCTTTATTCAAGCTTCAACAGAACAACACAAAATGGCGTGGATCCCTTTTATACCCTTTTGCAGGGAACAGCGTCAGCCAATAAATGCAACGTATTTTCCCGCTTTGCGTGTGCGCAATAGGCTGGAGACAGCCTGTCTGTCCCGGGCAGACTCTGCAGCTTCCTGCACCTGCTCTGTCAATCACAGGCCCACCCCTCCCCTCTTAGTTAAAAAAATAGACACTACTATTTTTAACTATTACCCCTTTGAGCGTGTTCTTATTTCTAGGGAACCCTTAGGTCTGCCAGCTTACTGACAGGAACCTTACATAATCTTGTAAGAACTTTGGAGAGCATCTGACCCGCTCTGAGTGTCTCAGAGCTGCTGGAAGTGCCCGGTCTGCAAGCTCGCCTGCCAGGCTTGGCAGACCGGGACTTTAAGGTCCAATTGATACAGGCGAACCTGCAACTTGCTGACTGGCCTGGTCCGGTAAGCCCAACCCTTTGTCCATTTGACTTCGGCTGGCTCTTTCCAGTAAGCTCAGACCAGAATTCCTTGGTGGGATGGAATTCCCCAGGTCTGCAAGAGACCCCTGTTGGGAGCACTGTCCCGTAGGCACAAGGCCTGCAGTAGGAGTGGCATGAAAAGCCGGTTGCGTGCAATGTCCCATGGACCCAGTGCCAGAGTCTGGAGGCGCCTCATTGGCGAAACCCCTATTTGCAGAGTGCAAACTCCCGCTTTCACAGAGAGACTGAGATCCACGATCATGATCATGGTCCTCCCCCCCAAGAGCAGAGTCAGGAGTGGAAGGGTGACAAGGTAGCCTCCATCACAACTGCTCAATGTGCCCATGCAGCACGCGACCATCGTCCAAGGCCACTTCGTATGACAGTGGCCCAGTGACTTTGCAGACCACTGCTGTCACCCAGAGATTTCCAGGTCCATAGTTCCTTGCCCAAACCGGATCGCCTACTTGTAGGCTCCTCAGTGCCCATGGCTGTGACACCCATGAAGCCACCCGGTCTGGGTGCAATCTGTCCAGTTTGGTAATTAAACAGCGACCCCAGCGGAATTCAGCTGGGCTTTTTCCAGTAGCTGTGCAAGGTGTGGTGCGGTGGCAAAGGAGAAAATCAGCTAACATGTAGTGCCAGCTCCCGTGAGTGAGCCTCTTCAAGGTGTCTTTGGTTGTGCGCACCATGTGCTCAGCTTGGCCGTTGGAAGCCGGATGAAAGGGTGCTGAAGTAGCATGATGAATCATGTTGGCTTGCAGGAAAGCCTGGGACTCCAAAGAGGTGAATTGAGGCCCGTTGTCGGAGACAAGGACATCTGGCAGCCCATGAGAGGCGAAGATCCCTATCAGCACCTGGATGGTCCTGGCAGTAGTCATGGTGGTGGACACTGGAATGACCTCTAGCCATTTAGAGTGACTGTCCACAACAATGAGGAAGAATTGCCCCTGAAAGGGGCCAGCGTAATCGATATGAACCCTCGACCAAGGAGCATGTGTGTCCTCCCACCTGGGTACAGGAGCCTGTGGCATTTCAGGCCTGGTACCCCTGGACCTGGATCTCAATCTCCTTATCAAGCCTTCATGCAAGCGCCTTCATCTGGACTATTCCTGGATGTCCCTCATGCAAAGACTGCAAGACTCTAGTCCTCAATGAGGTTGGGATCACTACCCTGCTACCCCACAGGACACAACCCTTAAAGGTGGATAACTCATGCATCCTTTTCCAGAAACTCTGGGAATTGGAGCCAAGACATGTGTCAGGCCATCCTGACAGCACCCATGTCAACATGCATGTTAGCGTGTGATCAGTGGCTGTTTCTGCAGCCACATCCCCTGCATTGAGGGGAGACTCAGACAAATCCTGGATAGTCAGTATGTGGTTAGCTGGAGCAGGATCTGATTCTATAAGCTGTAGAGGCAACATACTAAGGCCATTTGCACCGCCCATTTCTTTGTCTGGTTTGTGAACCAGGGAGTAGTCATATGCAGAAAGGAAAATTGACCACCTCAACGTTCTAGGAGAAATTATGTGTGGGGTTTGCTTGTTCGTTGTGAACAATCCCAGCAGTGGCTTGTGGTCTGTAAAGACTGTGAAGTGGTGACCATACAAAAAGTCATGGAACTTTTTTATGCCAGCCACTATGGCAGGGCTTTTCAACCAGTGGTACGTGTACCACTAGTGGTACGCGACCACCTGGCTGGTGGTACGCGGCATCGCCTTCCTCCTTCCCCTCCTTCCCAGCTCGCTTGTTGAAACTGAAAACATGCTGCTTGGCGATGGCCTGCAAGAACCCTACTGAGGACGCACGAAGAGCGCAGGCGCAGAGCGAGGCCCCACCCTCCCCAGGGACTTGTTGTGCAGGATCCACGTCACTCTTCCCCCCTCTTCTTACTTCAGAAGCAAGTGCGAGCCTGAAGGGGTCAGAGCCATTCACAGGTAGCTGTTGGCCCTAAGTGCCAACCTCACAACCGCCCCCTTCTTTTCCCCCTTCTCTCTCTCTGTTGCGGCCTCACTCTTTTCCATTTTCTTTTCCTCTTCCTTCCTGTGAGCTTGCGATACCCCTCATGGCCCTCACATTGCCTCCTGGGGCTCGAGTCTTTTCCCCCTCTCCTCTTCCCGAGGTGCCCAGCTTTACGGAGGGGAAAGCAAAGCAGCCAGATGGCGCGTGCCCTCCCAGAGGACTCATCCCATGGCAGCAGATGGGAATTGAGGCCCACATTTGTTTTGCTGATGTTGACAGTGATTCAGGAGACAGCCTGGGCAGAGGGAGGCTGCTCCCTTGCTCCAGGCTTGCTGAGCTTAGCTCTCTGCTCCCCACTCCTGATACCGATCGAACTGGCCATAATGGTTCCACACACTCAGTAGCCACCCCTCAAGTGCCACCCCTGTCCAGCACTCATTGGCCACTACATGCTGCCTGTCGGGTGCAGCGTGGTGTCATCGGGCCATGGCAGTGGCTCGAGGCGATTGCCAGCGTCTCATTGGCTCAGGACACCCGCCCGTGATAGGCATCTGATGGTGACTTGCGGGACAGCCGTGGGTGGGATGGGCTGCTCCCTTGCTACAGGCTCACTGAGCTCCGCTCTCAATACCGATCGAACATTCCAATGCCCGCACACTGGGAAACTGATCTGGGAAACTGATCTGGGAAACTGAAGCTGCAAGCTCTGGGGGATCCCTGCCAGAGCCAGTTACAACTAAGTGCTAGCCAGCTGTTTCAACCAGGTGCCGGCAGCCTCCTCAGGATGCCCTGCCCATCGGTGACGTTGCCGTGTTCCGTGACACCAGGGAATACCCGCTGCCACCAGAGCCGGCTACAATGAAGCGCCGGCCAGCTGATCTAACCAGGCACCGGTGGGCAGTCCTGGGGTGCACTGGAGTCCTGCATACCGCCCGGTAGGCTGCTGTCAGCTGTTCCTCCTTTGTGGTGTTTCTGGCGGCCAGCAGCATGCTTCAGTGGCCGGCTGCATGAGTCCCCCCCTTGTAGGAATGTCGAGCCCATGGGGCTTGACAGTCACAATGGTGCCGCACAGTAGCCACCCCTCAAGCACCACCACCCACCCGGCACTCATTAGCCACTATGTGCTGCCTGTTGCGTGCAGCGCAGTCTCATCAGGCTGTGGTGCCAGCTCAAGGCAATTGCCGGCATCTCAGCTCAGGCCGTCCACCCATCAGAATCTACGTTCCGTGATTGGTTGGCTCCCTCATCGTGTCCCTCCTCCACAGAAAGGGCATGGCTCTTCATGCAGGTTTACCCCCTTGCAGTGCTCCTAATTGGCCCTGCGCCCAGGTGCCCCGCCCCTGACAAGTGCAGCCAGGAAGTCCCCAGGAGCCATGCGATCCCAGTGCTACTATAGGCTCCACTGGCCGGGAAGGCGCGCCAGAGCCCCAGCTGCCGGTAAGGCGATTGGCCTGCTTCTCTCCCATCACCCGCTCTGCCCGGCTCGAGCCTGGCTGGAGCAGCATTGGTACTTCCAAAGGTGTCTGCTTCAAGGTCACATGGGCAGCCCTCGGCCGCTCCCCTCCCCTCCAAACCTCCAAATTGATCCCCAATCGGAGAGAGAGAGAGAGAGAGGAGGGAGGGAGGAAGAGAGAGAAAGAGAGAGGGAGAGAAAGAGAGGGAGAAAGAGAGAGAGAAAGAGGGAGAAATAGAAAGGAAAAAAGAGAAAGAGGAAGACAGAGGGAGGGAGAGATAGGGAGAGAGAGAGAGGGAGAGACAAAGAGAGAGGGAGAGAGAAAGAGGAGAGAAAGAGGAGAGAAAGATTAAATTAGTAACATGGTTGTTAAGTGAATCTGGTTTCCCCACTAACTTTGCTAGTCAGAAGGCTACAAAAGGCGATCACATGACCCTGGGATACTGTGACCATCATAAATATGAATCCATTGGCAAGCATCCAAATATAAATCACATGACTCTGGGCATGCTGCAATGGTCATAAGTGTGAAAAATGGTCATAAGTCATTTCAGTGCAATTGTAACTTTAAACAGTTTGTTTTTTGGTCATCAAGTTTTTGACACCTTGCTAGGTGGTACTCGAATATTGCCATATCCTAAAAGTGGTACAGTCGGTGAAAAGGTTGAAAAGCCCTGCACTATGGCCAAGGCTTCTCTGTCTATCTGTGTGTAATTACGCTCAGCAGAAAACAGAGTCCTTGAATAGT